ATTTAATTTATAAAATATATTATTTTATTTTTAATAAAATATTTAAGTTTTAACAATAATATTCTTACAGAATCTAGAAGAAAAGCACTAAGGGAGGGTTGTGTCAAAGTCTAAAAAGGTAGAAGAAGAGCAAGGGCAAAAGGTACCCATTTGCTTTTAAAGATTTCGAATTTGAGGCGTTTTACCCTTTATATTTCAATATATGAATTTTTACCCTTGTGATTTTTAATTTGAGGAAATGAGACAAAATTTAACGTCAAACGATCACGTGCTATACGTGCATCATTATTTCCGTTATAAATTTACGTGTCAGCGCCAACTTAGACTTTTTTTAACATGTCAGTAAGTCCAACTTAGATCATTTCCAACAATTTTTTTTTTTTTTTTTTTTCTTTTGATTGAGCTAATCACTCAATTTTATTTTAAGTATCTAATATTGTTCTTATGTATATGACAAAGACATGCACTAATTATTTTTAATTTTTTAAACTTTTAAAACTAAATTATTACATTTTTAATTTTTGAGAACTGATTCTATAAATATTTTATTTTTACTTTAACGGATAATTAACAGATTCCATTAGTTAAAATATTAAAATCTTCAAACCTTTAAGTTAAAATGTTAAAAATTTTATAATACAAGGTAAGGGGTTAAAATTTTCAAATTTAATAAGGTAATGAACTAATTGTATACTTTAGCCTTGGATAAAAAATGTTGTTTGAATAAGTGAATTCAAAAAATAAATTTTTTATTATGTGTCTTTAAATTATATAAAAATTAAAAAACTGAAATTAATTTAAATATTAATATAATGTGTATTAATTTAATTCATTAATTATTAAAATTAAAATTTAATTTTTATAAAATTTAATAATTAAAAAATATACTAAATGTATCTTCAACCTATGATTAATACCAGCTTTTTCCCTATAATCTAACGCGTTTTCCTTAATTTAGCAGCTTAATTCATAGCTTTGACAAAAAAAAGTAGTACTTTATTTGTTGTCCTCTAAACATACATTACTTCCCCTTTTGGTATTTTTTTTTTCATCATTTTGCATACGAATATTGATTATTAATCATGATTGTGAGAAAATATTTACAGATGTATATATTTATTCTCAAAGGAAATTAGTTTTTTTTTTATGAGAAAGAAAATTAGTTTTCTATATATATATATATTCATAATCATACTTAATATGGATATTTAATGAGTCAGTAACAATTTAGCTTCAAAAAGAATTATGTTTTCTGTTATGATTTGTGCCAAAAAAGAATACTCGTCAACTGCATCCTAATTATTAATTATTAATTTGTTTATGTGTCAAAACATTAGCAGGTGATAATTTATTAAACCGACATGAAATTTTGTCATGTTGAAGGAATTTTCAAAGAAGCTCTCTTGACTAAATCCAAATTCCATTGTTTTATTTTTTTAACTTGAACGGATAGGCTGTCCATGAAAATATCTTCAGATTTAATTTTTTATTAAATGATTTAAAAGATATACCTTATATTAATTAACCTGATACATTTAAAAGAATTAATTTATTTAATTACTAATCTCAAATTTTAAATTTTAAATTTGATAAAAATTTATGATTTATGATTCTCAAACTTTTTGTTGTTGTCCTATAGTAGGAGATAAGGTTTGAAATTTGTGGCATCAACTACCCATATATAGGATTTGCGGTTTACTAATTTCTTCCCTAATAAAACGTGAGAGATCATCTTTGTGATTTATCAGAAGCGGAAAAAGAATTAGTAGTAGGTTATCAGACCGAACTTTAATTATATATTCAAATTATATTATATGATATTTGAAGTGAAATTTAAAAATAATTAATAAAAAATTTCATATAATTATAATATATTTTTTATGTCAATATAATTATAGGATTTTTTTTTGGACTGAATATAATTATAATTATAAGATTGTTAAGTATTATTATATGTAAAAATTTAATTTGATAAGGAATCTGAATTCCAAGTTCCATCCATTGGGTCTCGTTCACACCGGCTGTCCCTTTCCACCAAACTCTGCATGATCTATAACTTTCCCCTCCACCCCTGTCTAAGGCTACTCTTCCTCCATTCCTCTTCCTCTTCCTCACATAACTAATAAATCTTCAAAATTTCTCTTCTTTTTCGTTTTGAACATGTCTTCTCTTCCATTCATCCTCATGGTTTTAGCTGTATCCTTTCTTCAATTTCCTCCGAGTAAATACAAATTCTTTTTATATCATGTGTTTCACCAACTTAGTTATTGCAGAGTTCTTCGAATCCTGAGTTAAATTGTTTTACATTGTACAGGTGTTTATTCATCAAAGTTTACAATCAGGAACAAGTGC